TTTGTGAAATTATCATACTAGTAATACTAACTGTGATTGGTCAGATTCAGCCGTCACTCACTCAGTTGAAAAAGTGGATGGGAAAAAGTGTCTGTGTTTAAGCCAACAGCTGCATTAAATAGAGAAATAGTGAATCACCGTACGACCAAAATAGCAGATCCTCCCAGGGATGAGATCGCAATTTGATTTTTCATGTACCTCCCAGCTTTAGACCAATGATTAAAGACACTATACCTGATTTTTACAAACATGAAAAACAGAACTAGTGGTCCAAATTATTTCTCACTTAACTTATGCATCCTAATTTTGCACACATTTGATTTTCTAAGATCTAAGACTTTTCACAGCTCCCGAAGATCAGAGCTGTTTGCTGTCACGGTAAAGCTCACAACAACTAGCATGCTAATGTGCACTTCTTGATTAGACAATAAAATTAGATTCAGAAAGCACTCAGCAGGCTTATTTTGACTTGAACAGCTGCTTATACAACAACTATATCTGTACTGGAACAAGACAAATTTGCTGAGATAATTAAAAAAAAACTAGTAGAGACTCTTTAAGTGACAAATGAATTGAGTCAAACCCAAAATGTAAAAAGTCTCTATAAAGACAATCCTACCCTGACTGCTTTTGAGTGGGTGTCCTGTTGAGTCTGAGTTGGCAGGTCAGAGCTTTGCGAGCTGTGAAACCGATCATTTGTTGGATCCGTGTTTTGGAGGCAGCTGCACGTTCTCACACAGCCCTGCCCTGATGCCTGTCCAGCAATCCGACACACAAGAGTGAAGAGAGAGAGCTCCTGGTAATGCCATTGTGTGGGGTTAGCAGCACTGTTAGCAGCAGGAAGGGCAGAGTTAATCACCACAATGTTGGAATTGTATTTGTTGTCTGCCTCTAATATATAGACATAAATATATTGCTCATCATAATCATACTTTAAATGTTCTATATTGCATGAGCTTTAAACCATGCTATATTGCTGTTACCTCCTGAAAAAACCTTCCCTCAGGTTGTGTTTTGGTTCATTCACACATGTCTGAGTAAACCTTTATTATTAGGCCGGGAGAGAGGGAGGGGGAGAGAGGTTTTTTTTTTTTTGCGAGTTGAAAAAAATTCTTGTCCACACACAGATCATCAATAAATATTCACTTCCACATGACAACAGAGCACTGAGTGAAAACGATGTAATACATATGCCACACCTGTATGTGGTGCTATAAACAGGATACCAACAGAGCCACTGGGCACACAATATACAAAGAGCTCATGCACATAAAATCCTTCCTGCGCAGGGTTCTCTTCTGGTCACGTGACGATAAAGGAGTCTTGACATCATCGTTTTCCAAAAGCTGCTATTTGCTTGTCCACACGCCAACGCAAAGCTGGTGTCTCAGATTTCTCCAGTCCTGTTTTCAAAAAACACAGTTTTCACCCATACTCGAAGCTCCGTGTGGACGAAAGGCCAAAATGAATAAAAACGACACTATTTTGACCAAAAATGTTGTAGTGTGGACATCACCTTAGTTTGTCTACATCTCCAAAGCTGAAAATGCTCTGTTCCAACTTGTGATGTCATTTAGTGATAGTTTTCAATTTAAACTTTAAGTTTTACCTTTAGTTCAGCAGAGATTGGCAGTTTCAGGGCCGAAATCATCCAAATTCTAGCGAAGGTGTATGGAGTTTAAAACACAGTGGAGCACGTCCTGTATTACCACATGACATCACAAGGTGGAACAGAGAGTTTTCTGTTTGTGAGAAGAACTCAGCCTAAATATGCAGGGTTTGTGTGAATGAAAGCAAAACACAACTACAGGTCTGTTTGTGATGAGGAAATATTATAAAATAGATCCAAAAATAGTATAATATGGGCCCTTTAATTCTAGTCTATTTTTTGGGTAAAAAGTTACATACTGGGGCATTAACGCATCTTTGAGTATCTTGAAAAGCGCCATACAAATGTTATGTATTATTATTATTATTATTAGTATCAACAATATTTTTTAAATGTTATAGCATTTTCTTGAGTATTATAACAGTGAGAAATTCAGCCATTTTTTTCTATATTTGAAAACAGATGAAGCTTTTGTTCTTACAAAACCAACAACTGTTTGTTGAACTTTATTATCACAAGCTACAAAAACCTTTCAAAACATATTTACTTTCCGTATATACTTTTAACAGTATCTATGTTCCTTTATTTGTGCTTATTCGATCGAACGCTGGCTTTTGACTCACTCTTTGCTTTGCCCTTTTGGTGTGTCATACGGGTAGTGATGCTGTAGCTGGCGTAGCACCCACTCCGGCTGTAGATAGCACTTCTTTGTACAGAGAAGTGTAAATCCTATAGCTGAAAACTCCATTAGGCAGAGTCACTCATGCATCCTGGAGCGGCAGTGCCAGACAGCTCTCTAAATCAGCTCCTGTTTCCAGCTCCACTGAAGAAAACAATATGGCTGACTGTGTGTGCATAGAGCCCTGGGTTAGACTCACTGTGGCAATGTTTTTCAACCTTTTTTCAGTCATGGCACCTGCTCTAAAATATTACCTCTGCACAACTTTTAGGAGAAAAATAGTGTTATATATTGTACATCTGTTAAAGGTGGATTCTGTAAATTTTCTGTTGTCGGGTCTGCTTTGTGACGATGTTATTGCTTTGCCTGGAATGTTCCGCAGGATGGCATTGAAGTTATCTATCTCCATATGGTCAGGATGTAACGATATCCAAGTCTTGATACGATATTTTCATGATATGCATCTCACGATATGATATTTTTTTGCGATATTTTGTTAACAAAATTGTGAAACTGCTGCTTTTCTGTCACAGTTCAAATAATTAACATTTAAAAGTGCTTAATAACATAATATATAATAATAATAATAATATCCCTTAGAGATAGGGTGAGGAGCTCAGTCACACGGGAGGAGCTCGGAGTAGAGCTGCTGCTCCTCCACGTCGAGAGGAGCCAGCTGAGGTGGCTCAGGCATCTGTTCCGGATGCCTCCTCGGCGCCTCCCTCGGGAGGTGTTCCGGGCATGTCCCATCGGGAGGAGGCCCCGGGGAAGACCCAGGACACGCTGGAGGGACTATGTCTCTCGCCTGGCCTGGGAACGCCTTGGGGTTTCCCCCGGAGGAGCTGGAGGACGTGTCTGGGCTGAAGGAAGTTTGGGAGTCCCTGGTTAGACTGCTGCCCCCGCGACCCGGCCCCGGATAAGCGGAAGAAAATGGATGGATGGAAGTGCTTAATAACAGTTGTTTTATCATGTAGATTGGACAAAAACAGAGCAAAGGATCATGGTCTATGTAGTTCTGTCTGCTTAAATTCATTGTTATGGGGCACCAACAGCTAAAAAACAAAGAAACTTGTGAAGAAAGAAACTTTACTTGGTCTTATGGGCCATTGACTCGAGACTCGACTTGGACTTGCCTTTATTTGATTTGGGACTTGACTCAGACTTGGCCAAAGACTTGCGACTTACTTGAGACTTGCAAAACAATGACTTGGTTCCACCTCTGCTTCTGACGATACAATACCACGATATTTCGGTTATCGTTACATCCCTACCATATGGACAAACTGGTGGAACTTCCAGGCCAGGTTACAGGTCAGATCTGTGGAGAGCTGAGCCTGCTTTAAAGGGATTTTTAGCAACACGACACCTGTAATTAAATCCAGTGTAAGATAGATATGATAGATATGTCTGGCAATGCTGTGCTGTGGGATATTCCAAGCATAGAAATAATAAATCCATGGAGAAAAGTTGCACAGTGCAGCTTTAACTAACAAAGTGGACATGTTTTTGTTTCTATAGAGGTGTGTGTGTGATGCTGCTCTTGTGTTTAGTTTAATATAACGACCTCTCTGGGTAATTCAATGATACATCAACCATTTAAGAGTTTGTCATCAGGTTGGACAGTTATCGGGAAATATGTGATCGCAAATTTTTCAATACATTTTGCATTTTAAATAGATTTGGGATAATTTTATTTGCAAACTACATACATTACAAAAGTAGGAACCAAACAACATATAGGATACAAGACGATTACATACAAATAGGGACAAAGGTGACGGGCTGGTGACAGTGTTTATTTATTTATTTTTAATTATAATAAATAAAAAAATATAAATGCACAGCCCTTTCCAAAATCTATATAATCACATTTTAATCTGTAATTTCTAATAGTCAATGATCATTTTAGGTCTTTTAAAAGGGGACGTCCACAGCCGATCCTGTCAGGAGCAGAGTTCAGACTGTTCTTGTGTGTTTTCTGACACTGATTAAAAGTCTGCATTGTTTTTGTTCAAGAAATATAAGTAAAATGTAAAAGTGTTAATCTGTTTTTAATAATGTCAAATCTAAATGAAAAATCTTTATCAGTCCGTTTTAGGAGGTGATATAGAAGAAGTTATTATTATTATTTTTTTTACTTTCACTTAACTTAAAGGTGCACTGTGTAACTTTTTGGGTGGTGGGTTTGCCATCTGCTTGTCTCCATGGAGCGGCCAATGATTTGACTGGAATATTATTATGGAAGTAAACTTAACTATGTTGCATTTATTCACTTCACGTTTGTGGACGGGAAACATGTCTGTGTTTTTCTTTCAGTTGGATGTAACAAAACAGATTTTCTTTTTTTTTGCTTGTTCTGCTGTTGTGATGCTTTGACCAATCAGATTAAAATATTCGTCATGTCGTTTTCAGTGAGAGCTGTTCCAGATTGATAATGTATAAAACTCAATTCAGAGTGGCATACGTGTGAAATTTGAAGTACAAGTTAAATGTTGGTATCTATAATTTGATACCTCACGCAGTACTATACTAGTGTACTACAGACAAACTTTCCTACAAAGAAGTACAATTAATCTTGAGCCAAAAGTGTACTGAATGATGAGTCAATACAGTAATCATTGTGACAGTCTAATTATGAGTTTGTTTATATACAAATGAAATCTTTCAGCTCACGGTTGGTCATAAGTCTCCCACAGAAGCTCCCAGACTGGACTAAGTGGATTCAGAGGGTCTGGAGGGGAACTGGGGCAGAGCTGAGGTCTGGGGTAGAGGAGAGGGGGACTGGGGTAGAGCAGAGGGGACTGGGGTAGAGCAGAGGGGGACTGGGGTAGAGCAGAGGGGACTGGGGTAGAGCAGAGGGGACTGGGGTAGAGCAGAGGGGGACTGGGGTAGAGCAGAGGAGACTGGGGGAGAACAGAGGGGACTGGGTAGAGCAGAGGGGACTGGGGTAGAGCAAGGGGACTGGGGGAGAACAGAGGGGGACTGGGGCAGAACAGAGGGGACTGGGTAAACCTGAGGGGGTCTGGGGCAGAGCAGAGGTCTGGGGCAGAGGAGAGGGGGACTGAGGTGAAGCTGAGGGGGCTGGGGCAGAACAGAGGGGGTGTAGGCCAGAGCAGAGGCCTGGGGTAAAGCTGAGGGGGACTGGGGTAAAGCTGACAGGGTCAGGGGCAGAGCTAAGGGGGACTGGGGTAAATCAGACGGGGACTGGGGCAGAGCGGAGACGAACTTTTGTAAAGCTGAGAGGGACTGGGGCAAAACAGAGGGGGTCTGGGGTAAAGCTGAGCCGGACTGGGGCAAAACAGAGGGGTCTGGGGTAAAGCTGAGAGGGACTGGGGCAGAACAGAGGGAGTCTAGGCCAGAGCAGAGGTCTGGGGCAGAGCTGAGGGGGACTAGGGCAGAAAAGAGGGTAAAAGTGGGAGAGGGGGACTGGGGGAGAGGGGGAGAGGAGGACTGGGGCAGAACAGAGGGGTCTAGGCCAGAGCAGAGGTCTGGGGCAGAGGAGAGAGAGGGACTGGGGGAGAACAGAGGGGGTCTAGGCCAGAGCAGAGTTCTGGGGCAGAGGAGAGAGAGGGACTGGGGCAGAACAGAGGGGGAGAGCGGGGTAGAGGGGCAGAACAGGTGTGAGACACTTGTCTGAGGAATGTGAGGAGCAGAGAAGACCTCCCACCAGGACTCTCCCATAGGGCTCTGGACCTGTGTGTGTCTGTGTGTGTTTGAGAGGTTGAAGGAGAGAGAGAGAAAACATGTTTACCAATACTTATGTACAGTTTTTATAATGTATGTAACAGGATTAAACAATTTAGAAAAAAATGTGCACTTGAGATTTTTCTGACAAACTTTGTGATTGCGATTAGATTTGCGGTTTATGTTTAAATAATGGTTTTCTGTTCAAAGTTCACATTGTAAACTCGTCCAGGAGAATTGACAAAAAGACTGAAATATGAACTGACAAACTCATACACGAATCACATTTCAGAACATGTTTGTACAGATCTAAACTACAAGGTCAGCAGTTTTTATGCAGAATAAGACAGGAGATTTTATTGTTTGTGAAGAAAATTATAGTTCTTAAAAATGGAAGTGTTTTTAATATATTTTTTCCACTTTGGGAAGCTCTGACCATACAGTACTAAAAAGTCAAAAGTCATTTTAGATTAACTTTTGACAGTGTTCATAGTCATTTGTATTTTAGAATGTTTGTGGTTTTGGCTTTTGTGTTTTCTCTGAACTTAAAGCTTCATTTATCAATCTTCTTTCCAGTGCGGTCTTTGTCGGGTTAATGCCAAGCCAATGCGAGGTTAAGTTTACGTTCCTTAAAATGCAAGTCCGCACTGTGCACATTAACCCAGCGTGTTTTTTCTGGGTGTGTGGAACGGAGGATCCTGGGTGGCGCTCACCACCTGCTCCCTGCTCACAGTTTAGCTCTGCACAAAACCAAAACATGCAACACATACTCAGAATATTATGTAAATATGGCAAAGTAATACCAGTAATTGAGTCATTAGCTGGTAGACATGAGTGGTCACTGGTCAGCTCAGCCTAAAGCCACAGTATGAAACTTTTGAGCCAAAATATACTGAAGTAAACACATGTTCTTTTCATTTTGGTTGAGTTTATTGCATTGAAAAATATGAAAAAACTTGCATCCCTTCTGTGAGCTCGCAAACCTGACTTGCCTCCTGCTTGTCTCCATGGAAATGTTGTTTCTTTGGCTGTAATATTTAAAATTATGGCATAAAACATATCAATCTTTGTGGAGAATTTTCAGAAGTGTGATTAACTTTCTATTTCTATGGAATCAGGAGTTATGATTGATGAAGGTCTAAACTGGAGGTCTCGTATAAATTACACTAAAGGCAAAATGTCCAAAGCAGTTGTGCTGCATAAAGTAAAGTTTTCACTAAACTGTGCAGCATTATTAACCTTGTATAATGCTGTAATTGCACCATATCTGATGTACTGTGGAGAAATTTGAGGGTCAACATGTAAATATTACCTACAACCTTTATTTATTTTACAAAAAAAGGTCCTTGAGAATTATCACCAACACTCATTGTAGAGATCCAACCCATTATTTGTTCAACTTAAAGTGTTAAAAATGCATGATATTGTCGACTTAAGTATCCTCAAAGTCATGTCTAAAACAAAGTGCAATCTATTACCTGTAAATATTCAAAAATCTTCGATGAGAACAAGCCACTACAATTTAAAAACATCCCACATGTTTAAAAAAAACCCAGATTCAGAACCAAGTTTATGGAGCGAAGCGTCGCTGTGAAAGGAGTTCACTTATGGAATAGTCTTGGCAAAGATATCAAAGAATCAAGTACAATGATGGCATTTAAAAAACGCATACAGTTTTATGCAATGTGTATGTACGAAAAAGGAAACTAAGTTGTTGTCGATAATAGTGAAGATTTTTGTTTGCAACTGATTAATAATTGTGCCTGAACTGAAATGTATTGATTTGAAATGTTTTAAAGTAACTATCGGTGTTGATGTTTTGTCTGGAAAAGGGAAAAGGGAGCAGATAACATAAGATGACTCTTCTTTCTGCTCCTTTTCATTCATTTCTTCTATGTCTGATGTCTTTTTATACTTTATGAATGAAATAAATAAACAAAAAAAATAAATAAATAATATAAAAAAAATCATATAGGTGATGTGCCGCCTCCAGAAAGTTACATACTGCACCTTTTAAATATTTTATCATTATAATTTAATTTGCATTTTGTCAGTGTTATTATTATTTCAATCAGTTAAGTTATAATTACAAGAAAAAGAAATTGCATAAAGCTTTACAGTTTAAGATCAAAAATGTAAGTTCTATACATTTTTACTTGAATTTGCTATATTTCTTATCTAAATGATTTGACCTGCATGATTTAATGGAAAGAGAAAGTTAAAACCATATTTCAGAATATTCTCCATGACAAATATGTTTAAAAAGGGACAAAATTTCCACTGAAAAAAGCAGGATGAGGCCAAATAAGAATCAGGTTTGTGGAGATGCAAGCCCACTCTGAGTAAGAACATATATTTTTAGCGCATATGTTTCAGCACAATAAAAACATCCATAATGAAAAAAAATGACAACATGCTTTTATTTTTTATTTATTGGCAAAAAGTTACATCCTGGGGCTTTAAGTGCGCGCTATAATAACTTTTATAACTTTTTGCATGGGTATAATTTTGACAGAATAGGAAAAAAACCTAAGTCCACTTTTTGCATTATCTGCTGAACAATATTGTAAAGTATTTTCTCTTTAAACTAGCCTTTAATAACCCGTTTAAACTCTCTGAATACATAAGTCCTGGCCTAGCTAACTCCAGTGGCGCTTTGCATTTAAAATAGTATTAATTCAGCCTTATCTGAGCGCCACACGCAGGCTAAATGTAAGTGAATCAGCAAAAACGGAGCTCTCGAGTGCCGTGTGCAATATCTCTAATGTAGATTAATGCTACCTGCCCACAACAGCGCCCCCCGATGACACCAATTAAGAGCAACAATCAGTAGCGCGCGGTTTGCAGGTCAACGCCAGACTCCCATTGACTTCACTGCTGCCAAATCTGCATAGTCAGCAAACTGTGGTGTGTTTTTGTGCTTTGTTTTTTTTTGTTTTTTTTACAGAAAGCAAACAATGGCCAAGGAATGGACTGTACTCAGAGGAAAAGGTCAAAAAGACTAATATTGATTCAATGTTTTTTAGGTAGACCAGTTTCACAGCTTTGTCAAGATTTGGAGGACGACGGGAAGTGGGAAGTCGTCATAACTCAAGGTATGATAATCCAAGATATTTAGACTACTTATTTACATACTTTATTAAAAACTAAACTTTTTATGTGGATTTTCTGTTACTCCTTCTGCGAGTTGTCAGGGAAAAACTCCGCTCTAGTCTCTGAGAGTTGTAAAAAGCCAAACTTATTTGTTTTACGCAAGTTTGAGTAAAATTAATATTGTTCAAATGCTGATTTTTGTTATGATACGGTGAGTTCTTGGGGCAAGTCACTCATAAAAATGATCAGGTTCAACATTTTTTAATTTACTTTTTAAATATTTCTTATCAAAATACATTTCCTAGAATCTGAAAACCACCAATTACATAACATATCAACTTTAAAATATGCTTATCTACATCCAAGCTGTAAGATTAATTTGGAAATTTCACAGGAATTTTTTTCTTATTCTGCAAAAAACTGCAAACCCTGTAGTTTAGATTTGTACAAACATGTTCTGAAATGTGATTCTTGCTTGTCAATTCTCCTGGCTGCTTTTAAAATGTGAACTTTGAACAGAATCCTATTATTAAAACAACAGCTAATCTAATTGCAACGGTTGTCAGAAAAATCAACATTTGATGTTTTCCCCAAATTGTTCAGCTCCAATCTATAGACAGTACCTTGTTATTGGAATACAGTTCAAACAACAGCCCCACTAAGAAAATATGGCAGTCCTGGTTCAGTCCTGGTTTAGTTCAGAGTTTACTCCACCTTTAGTCCTGGTCTAGTCCCAGTTTAGATATTAGATATTTCTCCCAAATTGTTCAGCATTATCTACAGACATTACTTTGTTATTAAAATATAGTTCAGCCGCTCTAAGAAAACATGACAGTTCTGGTTTAGTCCTTGTTTAGTCCATGTTTAGACCTGGTCTGGTCCTGGTTCAGTCCACATTTAGTCCATATTTATTCCTGGTCTACTCATGGTTTAGTCCTGTTCTATATCAGGTTCAGTCCTGTTCTAGTCCAGGTTAAGTCATGGTCTAGTCCTGGTTTAGATATGAGATATTTCCCCAAATCAGTTCAAACAACAGCCCCTCTAAGAAAATATGGCAGTCCTGGTTCAGTCCTGCTTCAGTACATGTTTAGTCCACATTTAGTCCTGGTCTACTCATGTTTTAGTCCTGTTCTTTAAAAAAAAAAAAAATTCTTAGATATAAGAAACCATGGCTTTCCTGGTTTACTTGTGATATAGTCATGGTCTAGTCCTGGTCTAGTTCAAGTTCAGTCCATGTAGAGTCCTGGTTTAGTTCTGATCTAATCCTAGATTAGATTTGAGATATTTTCCTCAAATCAGTTCAAACAACAGCCCTTGTAAGAAAACATGGCAGTCCTGGTCTAGTCCTGGTTTAGTCCTGGTCTAGTCCTGGTCTAATCTTAGTTTAGATATTAGATATTTTCCCTAAATTGTTCAACATTACTTTGTTATTGAAATATAGTTTCACAACACGAACAACAGTCCCTCTAAGAAAACATGGCAGTTCTGGTTAAATCCTGCTTAACTCCTGGTTTAGTCCTGGTTTAGTCCTGGTTTAGTCCTGGTCTAGTCCTGGTCTAGTCCTAGTTCAGCCCAAGTTTAGTCCACGTTTAGTCCTGGTCCAGTTCCAGTCTAGTTTAGGTATGAGACATTTTCCCCAAATCTGTTCAAACAACAGCCCCTCTAAGAAAAGGGTTAAGTCCTGGTTTAATTCTAGTTTAATTCTGGTTTAATTCTGGTTTAATTCTGATTTAATTCTAGTTTAGTCCTGATTTAGTTGTGATCTTGTCCGAGTTTAAATATCAGATATTTTCCACCAATCGTTCAGCATTATCTACGTACATTACCTTGTTACTGCAATACAGTTCAAACAATAGCCGCTCTAAGAAAACACGGCTGTTCCCAGTGCGTTTCATTTGTGACGT